AGATTTTTGAGTGAGAGAAAATCGTAAAGAAATCTGACAGCTGGGTCATTCAGTTTCAGGGAGAGGTTCTCTTTATTCATGCAATGAGCATATGATGTCTAACATTACTGAGGAAATCTGGAGAGCATCCAGTACTTAAACTGTCTGACAGGATGTATTGCTGGCATTCTCTCTGGCCTATTTAAGCAGTTTTTCTGTTTACAGATGTGAAGAGTCAGCTGTGTAGTCAGCTATTTGTGATGCAGTGAAACTGCATTTCCTGTGGGATTTGAATGATGTTGCTTAACTGTGGTCAGCTGAATTCCTTGAACAAGAGAGCAGAATTTTTTTTTGCTCATAGTCTCTTGTTGGTGTTGAACATGCATGCACAAGCTAGTGAGAAAAAACATTAATATGTAATACGGCATGTTAAATATTACTGTGTACCCTATGTTTGAGCTCACAGACTTTTAGTGCTTTGTGCTGATGTTGAAGAGAGCAGTGGAAACTCTACCTGAGAAGAATGGTTTCTTAATTGTCCAAACAATAGCCTTCTCTGTAATAAGAATGAAAACATAATGGTTTGTTGTTAGGTTATAAAAGTAAAGGTCGTCTATACGTTTGCTCCAGGGTGGTGGTGGGGTGCTTTAATTAGAGTGGCTTTCAGAGCCACTCTGATTAAAGTGCCCACAGCATCATGTGTATTCAGCAACCTGTGCTTCAAAATGGTGGTGGGGGCACTTTAACTAAAGCTTATTTTGAAACGCAGGGGCGCTGAATACACATGATGCAGAGGCTGCTGGAGCATGCTAATTAGCACGCTCCAGCAGACTCAGTCAAGTCTGCTGCGACACATGTTAATTAGCATGCATCAGAACAGAGGTGCCTAAAGAGATTGATGTCATATATCTTGACTTCAAAAAAGCCTTCGATCTGGTGTCCCATGATCGCCTCTTGGAGAAACTGGCCAATTGTCACCTTGGGTCCTCCACGATCCACTGGCTGGAAAATTGGCTCCGGGGTCGGACCCAGAGGGTAGTAAT